GTTTTCACTATATTTTTGGCAAATAGAGAAATCAAAATTTAATTTCTCGCTAAAGTATGTAATTGTATTATACCAGGAATTGGTTGTAACTACCTCTCCTGTTTGATATTAATTAAAAGCTGATGTCAATAGCTTTGTTGGTCAGTTTACAAAGCGGTGCCAATACATATACATGTGGGTAACAATATCAATATAAAGTGGGAATCTTCCCAGTTTTGATAAAACACCAATATTTGTACATTGTTTTGAAACACCAAGAATGTATTTACAAAATTTAATATTTAGCTTTTCTTGCTCCCAATCTTTGTATACATTGTATAAGGACATATTTTTTCTCTTTTTGGGCCAGATTTATCATTCCGAAAGTTTTACAGCCTTAAAGTAAAAGTGGCTTTATAGTATGATAGACAATATGTAAATTGGTTGGGACCAATGGTACTACTGATTTTATACTCTTATAAAAGTGAGGCGGGAGATACCAAAAGGGCATTCAAAGTCATAAGTCGAAAATAAACTGACAACGCCATGGCTAAAATAGAAAAAGACAAACAGAGAAACAACAGTACACAAAACACAACATAGGAAAATAATGACTGAGCAATACGAACCACACCAAAAACTGGGGGTGATCTCAGGTGCTCCGGAAGGGTAAGCAGATCTAGCTTTGAGTCCCTTTTCATACAGCTTTTTTATGTTTCATTTAACTTGCCATTGTTACACATGACCAGCCCAATATATTTATAAGATTTAACACATTCTATATTATTCTGTCCTATACAAAAATCTTCTGTAAGCAATCGACTATGTCTTATTGATATTAAGTTCTAGACACCATTCTTTACAGTATTTCCATGAAATAGTTTGTTGGTCTTGTAATCCTTGTTTAGAGTTTAAAATTAAAACTAAATCGTCCGCATAAAGTAGGCATGGGACCTTTTTTATTATCTAGAGTAACACTCACAGTTCATTAATGAATAATTTAATCAAATGTGGACTTTAAACATCGCCTTAGCTCACACCAACCTTTGAATTGAAAACAGTTAGTCATCTTCTGATCAAATCATAAGTTACAATTTTTGTACAAACTGTTCAACATTCTATAAAAATGACCATCTATATTATTATGTAACAATTTTAACATGACACCAACATGAACAACTCAACTGGAGACTTTAAGAAATTCAACAAAACATAAGTATAGTTTTTTTGTGGCCACAATTAAAATATTCATCTATTATAAATTTTAGCACAAATACATGATCTGATATTCTTGATGTTTACAGAATCCAATTTGGGTCTCTTGAATTAATTTATTTTCAAACAGAAATTTGTTGGTATTAAAAATCTTACCAGTACTATCGTTATAGCAATGCCCCTGTAGTTCTCTGGTTTTTCAGGGTCATCAGATTTATACATAGGAAAAATAAAACTTTCTGACCAATACTTTGGATAATAACTAGCAAATATATATGGATTTATATACTTTCACCTGAAATAAGGGAGATATTTTGCAACTTCCAGTTTACAAATTGTCACTTCCGGTCTCTAATGATAGGTACATGTATGCCGATAAAAAAAAATAAACGGTTTCTGGGTACTTTTCCATGAAAAAAGTGCAAAACGGCTACTTCCAGTTTACTCAAGGTCACTTCCAGTTGCCATTCTCTAATGTCTTATGTCACTCAACATTTTGCAAAAGACCCTATCGCTTTATCATGTACCAAGTTGAAGTAATAATCAATTAACCTTAAATTAAAACATTCCAAGGGCAATAACTCCGATAAGATGTCATTGGATTGTTTCAGACCAAATGTATCATTATCTTCATCACAATAAAGCAAACATTTTGCACTAGTTCTTTTATATATATCTTTAGAAGTGTCAGTGGAGATCATACAGCAAGCAAAAGTTGAAATTAAGAACATGACCTTGACATCATTTTGTAAGTTAAGACTGAACGACCAAAAAAAAAAATACAACCTAGGTATATATATGGCTTACATTTTATGAATTACAAAAACATACCGACAAATTCAATTGTTAAGGGTAAATAACTCCTATAAGATGTCATTGAATTGCTTCGGTCCAAATCAGGCAAAAGTTCCTGAGGATGTAACAAAAAGTAAAATAACAAAAATACCGAACTCCAAGGAAAATTCAAAACGGAAATTCCTTTATCAAATGGCAAAATCAAAAGCCCAAGCACATCAAACGAATGGAAAACAACTGTCATATTCCTGACTTGGTACAGACATTTCCCAATGTAGAAAATGGTGGATTAAACCTGGTTTTATAGCTAGCTAAACCTCTCACTTGTATGACAGTCGCATAGAATTCCATTATATTGACAACATACAAATAAGAAAAAGAATTTTGTTATTATCCTTTGTTGGTTACGGATGAAATTCAATAACAAGAAAAACAGTGTTTAGAAAGACAATAAAACGACTCAACAGGATGAGTTTCAAAAGCACACTAACTGTTCGTTATAATATCCAAAAAATCTAAGCGACATCTTGCGAAACCACTTCTTACCGCAAGAAAAGGGCTTGGCGGAAGAAGAAGATAAAATATATATAATCAGAACAACATTAAAAGATCTTTCCACAAAAAATCGAAAGACCTAATAATCAGAATAAAAGTAGAAGGTCATTCCACGGAGAAGTGGAAAGACCTAATAATAATCAGAACAAAATCAATAGGTCTTTCCGCGGAAAAGTGGAAAGACCTAATAATCGACTTTCACATGAAGGTTTGTACCGTAATACATGTTCAACACCAAATTCCAGGTAAACGCCTCTTTTCCAAGTAAGACGTAGGAAAATTCGTTTTGTATTGTTATGGTAATCTCTGTATGAATAAAATACGTAGGAAAAGCGCAAATATGACAGCAATGTAATAAAACAAACACATCGAAAGAAGACATCAAGAGTTCAACATATATTGTTCAATGAGGACATGCATCATTATATAAATATCACATAGCTGAGAGGGTGATAGAGCAGATTGTTACCCCGAGAAAACATTGTCAACTGAGACTATTTATTTATTGTCTACCATTCCATCAATCGTTACTGACAACCCAAGATAAGGGGGGGGGGGGGGGGGGGGGTTATTTATAGCCATGGCGGCCATGTTTGTTGATGGATCAAAACTTCGGATACAATTTTAACCTAGATACCCTAAGGAACATTTATTTAAAGTTTGAATGTATTTGGCCCAGTAGTTTCAGAGAAGAAGATTTTTGAAATAGTTTACGACGAGAGACGACGAAAATTACCAAATTAGTGGCAGCAACCCAACAATGGTTTGTTTGATTTGTTTGAAAATATCAGGGCTGGTAGATCCTGACCTGTTTAACATTTTTACCGCCTGTCAGATTTGCTCTAAATGCTTTACTTTTTGATATATAAGCAAAAAACTGCATTTGACCCCTATGTTCTTTTTTTAGTCATGGCGGCCATGTTTGTTGATGGATCAAAATTTCGGATACAATTTATAAACTAGATGCCCAAAGGAACATTCATTTAAAGTTTGAAGGTATTTGGCCCAGTAGTTTCAGAAGAGACGATTTTTGAAATAGTAAGACAGAAAATTACCAATTTAGTGGCAGCAACCCAACAATGGTTTGTTTGATTTGTTTGAAAATTTCAGGGCTGGTAGATCTTGACCTGTTTAACATTTTTACCCTATGTCAGATTTGCTCTAAATGCTTTACTTTTTGAGATATAAGCCAAAAACTGCATTTGACCCCTACGTTCTATTTTTAGTCATGGCGGCCATGTTTGTTGATGGATCAAAATTTCGGATACAATTTATAAACTAGATACCATAAGGAACATCATTTAAAGTTTGAAGGTATTTGGCCCAGTAGTTTCAGAGGAGAAGATTTTTGAAATAGTTTACGACGACAGACGACGGACGACGACGGACGCAAAGTGATGGCATAAGCTCACATGGGGCCCTTCGGGCACGGTGAGCTAAAAAGAGATTACCGAAGAGCTGACATCAAAATCAAATTCCCAAAATAAGAATAACAGCCTCCCACAAAAGAACACCCAAACAAACCTAAAAAAAAACCAAAACAAAACAAATAACGAGTTTCGTTAAAATAGGCTGACGTATTTACATTTAGCAGCATTACAGTAATTTTGTGAGTAGTCAATCACCCATGTTATTCATTTTTGCAAGCTTCGACAATCAGTCAAAACGATGCACGTCCAATATGAATAAAGCCAAAGAACAGATAAAACAAGTTCTATGAACGCACGAATGAAGCAATCTAAATTTGCATATCTTAAATTCTTACTCATGTAATTTTCCTTTTGTCATTAGCGTGAATTCCTTTAACAAAACTGACATGCACTACAAAAGGGTATCGTTTCAATTTAAAAATAAGTTACAGATAATGCGTCGTTGATAAAAAAAAACCAAATTGATTGATTGATTGGTGTTTAACGCTACTTTCAACGCATTGTGTTATTTCGTGGCGAAAACTGACAGTCCTAGTCAATTAAGATTGGATTCGAGCGCACCTGTCATGTGTGGAATTCAAATTTACAACCTCAGTCAGGCTAATAATATAGTAGTTCGACTACTTAGACCACTTGGCCAATGAGGCTCCTGACAAAAAAACCAGGAAAATTCATTAAAGAGAAATTACAGTAGTCTTATGGCTCAAAATAAATCAAGCTAGTCTTATGTCTCATAGAACCTGAACTGAATATAAACATATAATATTGAATTCATTGCATACGATGTGTGTTTCTGAAATAATCTTCACCAGGCACACTCGAGCCAAAAGGATAAAACTTTTGAAAGCATTGGTATCTCCTTACTTCTCCGCATTGAACTATGCCACAAAAAAATTATACATAGCATTTGTTTATTTCTATTTTCTCACTAGGGAAACGTAACACCATAACAGTTCATTAAAACAAGGAGTTTATATAAATATTATTTATTAAAAACTACTGTATCATTCAAAAATACATTTCCGCTTATACATAAGTAATAAAACGTTTTATAATAACAAGTCTTCTATCGATAATCAACACAGAATATTCTCAAACAAAACAGTCAAAAGTAAATTCTTATTGAATAAAGATAAGAAAAGAAAAAAAACCTCACAATTAACCAACAAATAACTCTGGTCAATCATGACAACATCTCTGTCAGAAACACATCAACCAAAAACAAGTCAGTAATAGCACTATCATGGAAATTAGCACTTTTGTAAATGTTCAACATTTATGAGAGAAAAACAAAATTTCCGTAATTTCATACAATGCTTTCGTCATCTGGACCTTTTCGGTATTTTGTTTTACTGTCCTGTTTGAGATTCCAAGGCATATTATCCTGAAATAGAAAATAGATATATCACGTGACCAGTAATAATTGGCAATAATAGTATCTCAGAACGAAAGAATCAATCTGAAAAGTCGGCTAGTTTCGTGAGATAGGTAACTGAGTCGCATACGTTTAATTCTATTTCAAAAAGACAACTTGGTACTTAGCATACAATCATAGTGAAAATTATATATAAAATCGGTATTACCGTGCAAACATTCATTCTATCAAGCCCCGGTATTTATAAGCCTTTCTGTTTTCTTTAAATGTATTGTTTAAAAAAGTGGAATTATTCGAAACACTAAGATTAATCTACCACTGGCATATATTGTCTTAGCCTTTTATGGGTTTTCGATATTTAATGCCCTTAAATGTCGTATTTGATGTGGCCTTCCAAACGTTTTTTTTTCGAGCGTCATTGATGAGTCTTATGTAGACAAAACGCGCGTATGGCGTACCAAATAATAAGTCTAATATCTTAAGGAGTTTTTAGGAATTCATATGGTATCATAATAGACGCTGTCTTGAAACGTACTTTAAATGCAGAATATTTATAAGAGAGGCGAAATATACCAGAGGGACATTCAAACTCATAAGTCGAAAATAAACTGACAACGCCATAGCTAAAAAAGAAAAAGACCAACAGACAAACAATAGTACACAAAACACAAACATAGAAAACTAAAGACTGAGCGACACGAACCCCACCAAAAACGTTTGTATTAAAACACCACTGCAAATGAAGTCCGTTTAAGTGAACATGCCCGTGGGTAACGTATCAATTGCGATGGACAGAGGGTATGTTACAGCCGAGATGCCTGTTCTTCCTTACTGGCATGAACATACGGATATTGTTTTTATTTAAAGTTTTTGTAATAAAATTTTAAATCAAGGGATTATTTCACTCATACATAGCTCTTATTCCTTGTCGGGCTTGGCATTATTTTTGGTTCTTTTTGACTTAGATCCTAGTTTTATGTTGCCCATTTGTGTCATTTTCAAGAAAAATATCTTTATGAAACAGACCTTCCAGTTTCGGTATTATTCTTCATGTTATGTGCATTGGGAAAAAAGTATAACAAAAATACCGAACTCCAATGTAAATTCAAAAAGGGGGTAGTCCATAAAAACTGACAAAATCAAACGTTACCAACCTAATGAGATGCATAAATTTCTGCTGCTTAATGACGGAGGCATCATCAATATACATGAACATAAAATTAAAGAGCTTTGCAAGACATTTTTTCTTCTTCCTTTGAAAAGGATTTGTAAGAATTATGCTTCATATAAATAATAAAACAAGTCGACCAGTAAGAGGCACAATTAGTACTCAATTGCTAACCAATTGTTGTTAAAATATCGATCGATCAAAACTCGAAACATCAGCATTGTGATTATTGTCTTTTCTGTATTTGATGTTGAAATCAGCGTGATTCTTCACAAAAAAGGAATTTCATGACCTGAAACAAGAAATTTGTATCTACGATTCCCTTTAAATTTGTGTTGTAAAAAAAGAAGATGAGTCGATCTTTCAGTTGAGCATAATGAATAGTAGCAAATGTAGAGCGTAGAAAAATAAAAGTTTTGATATTATTGCAAAGTTGAAATGATTGTTGTTGAAGACTTTAGAGTAGATCTTTAGACTTTAAAGAAGCCAAATTGGATTGACACCGCTGATTGAGTGTAGACCATCGCAATTATGTCAGACCATCAGCAAATGGATAAAAAAGACAAAAATACCCTTTCGCAAAGGGGGAAAATCTGCGAGGTCATTAATATAATAACAATCAAACACTAAGCAGGTCAAAGCAACACGGATACAACATCTATGTCTTCGAAGACCAAACATGTTTCTGGACAACTGTCTAAACTTCCCGACAAATACTAGTACAGTGTTATCCATATGAACAAAGCTATACGAACAAAGCTGCAAACAATACAGTATCTGAAATGTTAATATAGATGGTTGATAAAAGAACTAAATGAGTACAAATCATGATTCTTTATTCGAAGTTAAAAATTTGAACTTACCACTGAACCAATTTTCCGGTATTTCTTTAGCTGTAAGAATTCTATTGGACCACCATCATCTTCATCCTGGCATTGGAAAAATAATAAAATAACATGTATTTCATAATTTTTCTTCTTCCAATAAAAATATTAATGGTCATCTTTCAGAAAATATTGATTTTATACATAGATTGCTAAAACATTGGATTAAGTCCATTCATACATAATTTTGACATAATGTAAAAAACTGTCCAAGTGTTTTCGTTAAAACATATTCTGATTATCCTAAAAATCTCTAACCTTTTCTTTATAGATTCATTCGTTTCTACCTCAGTTACAGTATAACAATATGTTTACAAATTATCATCTTCTAACTATTGTCATCGAACATTCCCAATGAAAGTCCACCGTGAGAAGTCCTCAGAATGGATTGTAGCAATATGCATTGTTATTTAAAATGCAATGTGTATAAAAAAAATGAAGACCCCTCCAGAAAGAAATTTGATTTTTATAACCCGTAATGAAAAAAAAAGTTCAAAGATTCTATCGTTGTTTCTATAATTTTAGAGTAATTCAATTAAAAACTGTTTTAATGAAGAAAATGCTGTTCAGCAGCGAACACATACGTTACATAATGAAAATAAATTATGTGTTTTGCATAGAATACAAAATATATTGAAAACAGAATATGAACAACAAGTTCACAAACAAAATCGTCTAAGATCTATTTTACCCGAGTTGCAACGTTACTTTTAATGAAAAAAAAAAAACATAATTTAAAAACATAATTTAAGTAAAATATTTACAATAAGATTATTAAATGCTTCATCTATATCACGAAGCACTTGCGACTGTGGGTATGTACCATTTAGGCACTTAACTGCTCTAGTGACAGAAATGTACATAGAATAACCATACGAAAGAGCAATTTTGTTAAAAAAACTGATGAACTCAAATAAAAAAACACACACAAGTAAATAAATTCATCATAAATACCAGGCTTAAAAGTTTGTACCAAAGATACTTGTTTCATCTACAACATACTCATTAGGGAACAGAGATTGACGTTTTTCATTGAAGTGGGAAAAGAGAACAGTAAAGGGACTGGTTATTAATATATTTCTTTAGTTCCAAAATAATCATAGCATATTGTACATAGTTCACATAATGTATAATCATAATTCGATTAAAAATTTTGAAAGAACTGCTAATTCTTGTTTTTTATGAAAACAGTTCATATGAGCATAAACACTGATTATAAAATACCCACAAGCAAATTATATTATCTACAAGTCAATGGTAACGAAGTTAGTATCAACATGCTAATTTCTGGTAATCAAACTAATATAGTTTAGAAATCTTCCAATTTCTATATTTCGGTATGGAAAAAATACTTTACCTTGAGGAACATCTTAACGAGTGGTAACATGGTATTTTTCGCTGAAATACTAACCTTTTGTGGATATAAATATATACAAGGTAATTTAATTCTGTTTATTCCTTAGCATATTCCACGTTTTCTGTGTTTTCTCTCATATGTCTGCATTTTATTTCTTGCTTTAGGCTTTTAAAGTAACATCTTAATCTATACTTTCTTACTGCAGGGTTATGTAAGAATTCAGTGAAACATTGTATTCGTAATTTGAATTTTGATATTATTTTCTACGTTTACTTGATTAACTGAAGAGGAACTACATGTTTGGTGGCAAGATCCAAAACAATGATTTCAACAATATGTAAATATCTAGAATACTTCTAAAAAATAAGACAGAAATCGTCGATGATCTGGGATCAATTTCAAATTCCAAAAAAGACAAAACACTAACAACTAACAAGATTACCATTGACGAAGTTCTTGACCTTGACCTCGAACAGGCAAATGGACATATAGCGGTGTTGAACAAGTCTTTTTTTATATCACAAACCCTTTTCATCTCGATCAGTTGAGTAACCAAAAGTACAAAAAGAACGTATATTTAAAATCCGGTAGAGTAAAAACACTTCTTAAAGCCGGTATATTAAATACCAGAAACATAAGAACAACTAGTTTAACATTTTCAAAAAGGTAGGAAGTGCTTAGCAGTATCATAAATTACATCAACATGAAACAATTATTGCTAATCGGGTCTCGAATAGCCATACTGTAATATAAGTTATTATCTTTCAAGTATAATATCTTCTTCTGCCGATTCTATATTTCATACTAGACAATATAATCTTAGCCACATCAGACCGATATTTGTTAAGTTATAATTTCATGATGGCGTGAATATCGACGTATCAAAGATGTCCGATTTAACATTAATATAACGATGTAATAATATATCATTCGGATTACTTTTATAATGAAATTCTGACTGCAACATTTGTATCAACCGTTTATCAAACTAATTCATATATGATAAAAGAAATAAAAATAATTGCTAGTTCCAAAGTGTTCAGAAAAATATATAGCTAAAGTAAAATGCTGAAAATTTTATTCCTTGTCTAAAAATATATAAAATAAATACGATAAATTCCCGTTCATTGCAAACTTAACTTGTACTATTTTTTTAAATAAAAACTTTATTCCTAAAATTTTGCAAAAGATAAACCAGAGTTAACCTAATATAATTCTTAAACAACGAGGAACTATATATCAAATGCCATCAATGTTGTGAAAATGAATTATATGCAAAAACAAACCGTTTGAATATATGTAAAAAGCCGAGTGCAAAATTAAGCAATCATTGAAGCATTGTTATACATGCATATAAAATCAATCTCTGGTTAGGAAAGAGATTAGCGTGATGTGCGATGAATGGTTTTTTATTTTTATTTGATGCTTACATTATCTACATCCTACATGGATAGAATAAATACATTATTACACAATTTAATTATTGTAAACAATGCTTTTTATTTTTATATTTATAGCAAAACATTTCATTTTCTAATTATTGCTTACATTTAGGAAAAAGTAGGCTGTGAAATTTTGTCTGATATTGAAATATTAGTCTATCGGTTAACGATGAAAACTGCCGAAAATATGTCATTTTTATATAAACAGAATGACACAAATCTGAAAAAAAAATCCAAACAATTATAGATGTTAAATCTGATTCTAAAATTTTAAGGATGGACAAAGAGGAAGGAAGTAGAATACTGACATAGAAAATTTCGTACATATAAATAATAAAACAATACATTTTAAAACAAGAATAACTTATCTGAAAATTTATTTTTGTTCGGTCAGACAAAAGATAACTAGAATGTACACGATTATAAAAATACACAAATTTTAAAAATGGAAGATATAAAGACTTACATCGTCCATATCATCGTCGTCAACGATCAATTCCCCTTCATCTTCCTGTTTCATCATTTTGTCTTCCGGCATGAGTTCGTCAAGCCATTTTAATTCATTCTTTGAAAAAATTCGTTCCATTCCCTTTCTTACAAAACATGTACCGAGAACCATAACAGGAAAAACAATAGATATTGTTTTTATAGCTTTAATAGCCCATAGTATTCCCAAACATAAAATTTGGAAAAAAGTAAACAGGTGAACGCGTTTTATCCTGACGTGGCGAAGGTACATGTGATCTGGTTGATACTTAGCAGGCATGAGCATTATCATCATACGGTCCATGAACTGTAAAATAAAAGACTTTGGATTTAGATAAACATACTTTACCAGTTAAATCAAATTCGTGTTTTGAACGACGCAAAAGACACTTTGAATTACAATGAAATGTGTATAAAATATAAGACTCCACAAACACATAAATTGATGAAAATGCGTAATTAAAATTCAAAGTCCATGTACTCTTAATATACTCATTAGGAATATTTTTTTTCCAATACATGAAATGAACACAGGTTAAAGTATTGCCAAGGAAATAATTTCTATATTTGATAAGCGTTCTATGTCAAAAAAGATTTTTGCGATTTCGTCTGAGAATGATAACAAATATCTTCACACAGAAATTCATTTTCTATTTAATATTATATTTTCTTTTCAAGTGTAACATTTTTTAGTTTTTTGATTAAAATTTGAGTAACTAGAAAGTCGCTGCACACATTTTACCACTGGTTATCAATAGATACAAGAAAATTTTCGACCAATCAAATACATCCGACGTTGCATTATATCGTTTACTTGGCATTGATAGATTCATTGCCTGCTCTATATATAATTTTGTAATAATGAAAAGGGGATATAATTGATTACTTTTTAAATTTTGGAACATACCTGCATTCCCCTGAGTGCTGATACTCCCATATACAAAAATACACCATATAAAACAGGCATTGGTACAAGCTAAAATAAAGCAATAATAAGTGATTAAAACTATCTATAATTCAGATCTATCAAAAGGTTAAATAGTTGTCTTGCAGCCGACAATTCTCACTTCTTCAATGTGTATGAATGTTACAGCGTCCTAAACAGTGGCTTATGCGAATCCATCTGTTGGAGGTTCTTTGATTGATTATCACGTTTGTTTGCATGATTTTACCTAAGCGGCTGCCTCAATGAGAATACATTGGTTTATGTTTAGGTTTCACGACGATGCAGAGGTGTTCCTCAACTGTTTAACTTTTGGCGGATTTCCAAAATTAACTATCTAGTACAGCCGACGAGAAAATTTTTTAGAAATGCGCAGCTCTTGCATTGAATTGATTTCGGTATCTCAAAATTTTGTTTTACTACCATTTTATTTAAAAACGCTGCTGGTGGTAAGTGCTTTTATACTGGTATGAAACTACTTCGATATTGCGTCAGCAGTTAGCCACAAGGAATAGTATACAGTTTCGTAGAGACTATTATAAGATATTCAAAAACTTTAAATCAATATTCATGACATACAAGTTTTTATTTGTCAAGAATTTACAGAGCCGAATAGGCCTCAAAACTATTGTGTGGTAATAATTTTCTATAAACATGTCACTAGAACGTCAAATCTTTTTTTATACTAATTTCCAATTTATAATAATGAACAATACAAAGGACAAGGAAACAAATAAACAAATAGTGAAAGCACAAATTTGAACCTACTTGTAATATACTTGTCATAAAAACAGAACATCCATTTAGTATTGCAATTATTAAAGGTGTAAGGCGCTGTTCTCTGAAAGAAAAATAAAGTTATCTTCACATATTTACATAATTAAATGTAGATATATATTAAGTTAATGGTCTAACAATTTACTATTTTTATCAAATATTTCAATTGATACATATAGAAAATATTTGGAAGAGGAAACCAATGGAGGCAATCAAAATCAATAAGAAAGACGTTAAACATCACGACTAATAGAAAAACAAACCATACAAACCACTATACACTACACAAAAAATAAAATTTGAGTAATACGAACCCTACAAAAACATGGGGTCTACTCAGGTGCACCAGAAGGGCCAACAGGCTGTGTTCTAGTTGTAACACCCGTCTCGTTACTCTAATTAATATTCATTAATGGGTCCTTACCGATGATAACGTATTACATAGTAACGGAATGGTAAACATCTCTCTGGTCTTACCTTACGACATCACAAAATTACTAAACAAATGGTAATTAAATTCTCCCATCCTTATGCATGACTTGAAAAAGAAAACCTTGTGTTTAAAAGGAAACAAATGAAACAAAAATTACATTTCCTAAATGCTTCAGATGTTTCTGCCAAACATCTAATTATTTTCATAAGAGTAAAACCATTGCAAAAACTAAACTGCTCGGTTAATTTCACATAACTCACATAATTAATCACAGGCAATTTTAGTTAACCAATGTTCTGATCTCATAAACCCATTAAGATGATACAAATCAAGGTAAAGACCATAACTGAGGGAATTGCATGAACTCCAAAGAAGCGAAACTGTGAGTGTCGACTAGAGTAAATGCATGCATCATCTGCTATGGGAGTCATGGGAATACACACTCAGTCAAATAGTCCCAATCAGGAATAGAATATTATCAATTAATTTACAGATCGTAATACTATTTTGGTATCTTAAGTTCTAACGAAGACAACACAAACGTGTCGCAAGTGAGTTTAGACACAGACACATCGTATTGGTCAACCTATTCGTGTTGGTGACAGTTAAACCTTTGCAGTGTCGATTTTAGTGGTTTCCCTCATAATTCTGTTGGACCGTTTTCGTGTAAGAAGCTCTTAAAATATTTAGTATAAACAATAGTTATTTGTTTCAACTGGTTAGTACCTTATGCCGGTATATAAGTGATTAACGTACCTACAACCAAGAAAGACTGGTTTTTCACCGGGTGCAGTACATTCAGATTCCATTTTAAGACTGTTAACATGTGCCATTGATCGGACTGTAGCAGCAACATACCAAGGAAGACCGAAAAACGAACACACCACAAGACAGAACGTTGTTACTGTCAAATCTAAATGGTAACCACAACCTTTCTATAAAAGAAATGAAAACCTTGCAAATTCTGCCTATATATTCGTATCAGTTAATTTCACGTGTATACAGTGAAACACTAATGAAAAATAACCCCTTCCACATAGAACCCTTCGATATTTGAAAGGTTCTATGCAAAGACACTGTTGATTAACATTTACCAAGAACAAGTTCTCGTAAATAGTATTTCAAACAAACAACAATAAAAACAGGGTTATCACATCAATTTATAATTTTTCTTCTAGATATAATGAACGAAGAAAACACAAGTTTATAGTCTAGTGCTAAATTAGTTCATAATGTTGCTATTGGAACACATTCCTTACGTATCAAACTCAATTAATGTTGTTCTGACCGTATATGTCACATAATCACACAATACACCGTATATGAACAAAGCCGACAAGACCGGAGAAGTTCAGGAAAAATGTCACAAAAAGTCGAATGTAATGCAGCAAAGATTAATCCATGTTCACTCCTCAAGGTATGTTTAAAGGGTTTATATTGATATTCAAAATTAACACGAATAAATCGAGAATTCCTCAGATTTATGTGCAATAATCGAGAAGACCAGCTATTTATCCTTCTAAATTAAATTGTCATATACTTTTTTTTAAGATTATCATATTTGTTAATACATTTCCTATATCTTTTTTTATTGAAGACACATAACAATGAATTGTTATTCACAAAGAAACACTGTTTTTTTTTATTTAGAGTTTTTATAATAACGAGTTGATCAGTGTGCTCCAACATTTATTTGTTGAAAACTGATAAAATTCGGGAAATGAGTAATGCTTAGGACTATCTGAAATACTTTGAAATTCGATGTTTAGAAAGAGCTAAGTATATTCTTCATACAATTATATACTTTTTTTACAACATTAACTCCTTTTCTCATCGTTTAGTTCTATCTTTATTAGAACTGAATATTACAACGACTCCATAATATTTGTTTAAATCATGTCTTTCTTTTTACGTTTTATAAGTTTTTGCTGAACCTTTAGGAAATAATCGATGATTAAATTCAGTTTATGTGGGTTTTTCAATTTTGAAAACATAAGTTCTTGAATTTTTTGAAATCATTCTTCATTTCAAGGATTTACACCAGACGTATGCCTTATGTTAACTTCAAAACAGAAACTCGGAAAAAGACAACAAAAGTAAAAGAAACAACAAATAACAGTTTCATGCAAAGATCTAATTCCTTTTTTGAGTTTGGCTATAGTTTGGTCCTTCTTGGTTTAACCGATCTTAAACTTGTGTTTTAGGTTTCGGATTTACATTTAGATCCCAATCATCATAAAGACACATTAATTGTCGAAATGCGAATCTGGTGCAGTTAAAATGATACCATTGAATGTATTCACACAGTCATTTGTTTATAAGTCGGTCCAGGGATAGCTGTAGAATCGTAGCTCTTATGACCATTGTAAAATTTTAGATTTTGCGGACCAGCTAGCTGCGGAAACGTATCTCTTATTGTCTTTGTGTTATTTCGTCGATAATTTGCGGACATCTTTGCATCTAAAGTCCGTAAACTATAAAAAAATATCACAAGGACAACTATAGCTCCGAATCCGCATCTAGTTCAGGCAAGGAACAACACTTATTGATCAAGCATTGGAAATTTGTTGCATTGATTTTAAATTGTTTTGAATAATATTGTTATAAATCTGATAAAAAAAAACAGATTTCTTTAAATGAAAATTTCAATAATATGTACGAAAATGTACAAACAGGAGCACACGTTTAAGTCAATGTTTTGAGAAAAATATATATTATGTATATAGTAAAGATAAGCATATTAGTAGACAGATTAGTAAATATATGTATACATAATATTAAACATATTAAATATATGCAGCAATACTCTATGCAATTAATTCGATGACACTATGAAACATAATTATAACATACGTTCTAATATGTCACACTTTTACTTACAATTATTTCAGCTGGAATATGAAATAATGGACCTATAATGTATAAAAAGTAACCTAATCATTTAGTACATATTACTTTTTTTTATGCTGTATTGATTTTATTTTGCATATTGCATGCCATTAATTGGTAAATCAACATCTGGCTTTGCAAAAGAACTACAGAAGGCACTATGAAATCAGTGAAATATGATAAAAGTATTTGTACCATCAATACATTTTTCCCCAAATTGAAAAAAACCATGCGATGAGAAGTGTCTACATGTATAAGTACATAAAAAAAAAACAGCCGAAGAGGAGGAAAATTTTAATGTTGCAAGAAATAGAGAAATAGAGTAATTAAATTTTGCATTTAAGATATGAAAAATTGCACAATTTCTTAAATAGCTTTTAATTAGAAAATTAAAAAAATCAAAGCGGTATAATAAAATTCCTTTTATTAATTAAAAATTATTGCCTCATCAAATTCTTATTTTTTATATCTACAGAATATGTAATAATGTTTAAAGCAGACCCCAAACGTTGTGATTGGTTCAAAACGCCAAAAAAAAAATGGAAGTTCACCCAATGACGTAATGTTTTTTTTGGGGGTACAAGGAATGAAATTAACCATAGTTGATGAATTGCTCCAGAAGTCAAAATGTACAAATGTAATGAATGAAAAGACGATGGTTGAACAAAATAATACAACTGAAGTTTAAACAATAAAGAAAATTATCTAAGCTAGCATTGGATCATACCTTCAGTTTGTTTTCTTTTCTGTTAATGATGACAGCTGTAATTTGTTGGTCCATAAAGATCAGAATCACAGCCACTAACGCTGGCAAAGCTGTAGCTATCCACACCCACCACGGATTGTGTGGGCTGTATGGACTTGTGAACCACCCCCTATCTGGTCTGGAAGGCTGTGGAAAATTTAAATCATTGTTATTAAAAAAGAGAGGTTCTAATAAAAACGATGGATCTTTTTACTTTGCAAAAATGTAGTTTATATCAAGCCTTCTCTTAGAATTAAATAAAGTATTGTTCATGGAAAATTTTTTAAGCGCCAGGCTGTTCGCAATTGTCAGATTTTGTAAAAATAATACATGGAAAATCCAATTTTGAAAGAAATTAAACGATAACAAATGACAAGATATCTCTTAGAATGTGCTTTCAGAAAATAAAATTGGGGTCACGAGACTAATTTCCTGCAACAATTCAAAAAAGATACTACTGTAAATTCCTATATAAAAATTCGTATATCTTAGGTATCTCCCCTTATATGGCTGACTTGAAAAGAAAACAAATCAATAAAAAATATAATGTAATAATGAAATAAAACATTTTTTTCCCATTTAGATGAAAATTCTGAAAAAAAATCTCAAAATATGCATTCTTCATTAAAGATCTACACCAATGTTTTCTGCTGTTTCGCAATCCAAGCTTATGGAAAATAAAAAATCTAGACAGATTGTTTTTTTCTATTTTACAATCAAAGATTAAGGAAAATCTACCTTAAAATTGTAAACATATGTCAATAAAAAAGTCGATATCGATATCGATAAATCAAAATTTCTGGAGGAAGAAATTAATAAATGACCCATACATTATGATATTGGCATTAACACAAAAGATCTGATGCGTTTAAACAAGTTTAAACAAACCTGAATTGTATTTGGTACCATTAGCTTTGGAGTTGGAACACCAAGAAGTACATCAAGTAAAACCATTGTACAAATAGATATAAACACTGCAAAATCTCCAATTGTTTGACGTACCTGAAATGGAATCAGCTTAAAATCTATATTGATAGTTATTGATAATAATCTAAATAAATTTCAATTATATCTATTTTTGCATGAACATTTTTAAAGCGCTGCCTAGATTTTGTTTCTATTGGTTTGTATATTCCGAACAGATTTTAGACTTTGGAAAATTGGTAAACTAGTGTTGCCTCTTACTTAATCATGTTTCAAAAATACCAAGGTCAGAAAGTCTAATAAAATAACATGTAAAAATAAAAGAATTTGATAAGAACAATAAAATATACACTTACATAAAAATGCCAGTATTGGCCAATTTCAGAAAAAAACTACTTAAATCTGTATCCCGTATTCGTTACCGAAAATAAATAATACAGTGAGTGAAATATTTCTGAATGGATATAGATTAGTAATAGATTTGTTTGGTAATAAAAGCAACCGATAAAGTAATATTTACTGAAAAATAATGTCATATTAATGGAACATAGAAAAACGTGATATTCAAGAACAGTTATCTCTCTTTGAATGATTTATAATCAATGTTCACTGTAAATTTAGCAGGACTACAGTCAAGATTATATATTTCATGTCTTATACAAATTAGAAAAAATGTTTATTTGCAGGCTTTCCTAACTAAATTTTCTATCCCCTAATTAATGGCGGGAAGAGATTCAGAATTAGAATCAGTAACGTTTGTGACATTGATCAATTTTCAATTTATAATTGTCAAATTATATTTAATGGATGGCGTTTTAAGGAATAATCTATAAGACGAACAAGCGTCTTTGGTGTTACATCTAACAGCAGAAAATGCCTTTGGTGTTGCATCTAACAGCAGAAATTCTAAGTCGTACAGAATTGCAAGCTACTGAAATTGATTTCATGCACCATGTGCTCATTTATTTTTTTTTTTTTATTGCTAATCAGTGTGTATTAGAAATAAAATATTGGATATTCAAACGTATCAAACATTTAGTCCTTCTAATATTAACATTTTATCTTACATGTTTTAAATATAAAGTTGCATTTTTATATATTAAAACTGATCGATTTGTGTTGGTACTTGATTTCCTAGTTTTTATGTATACAGCTAAGAGTCAAAGACATAACCAAAACCGTTTCTACCATTTGATTGATCGACCGATTAAAGAAAGAATCCGGCTCTTTATATGATTTAAGTACAATACTATCATTTGTTTAATATAAATTACATATAAACAACTCACTACTGTTGGGAAGAATGTACTTTTCTTCATGTTCACTAATGCCCATGCAACGCCGAATGTTCCAACGCCAATTATAAAGGATAGGAAAAACACGTTGTCATGATAGACTGTAGTACCACAACCAGAACCTTCCAGGACACCTCCTAGATTGACACAGTCTTCTCTTTGTACGCTGGTCCAGTTTGTAATTGCATCCGTGGTTGAATTGAAAGCATTAGTAGTCAATGGCATTGTTGTCATATTATAGACGCTTGATTGATTATTTGTGACACAGAAACATGTATAATCCAATGGAATTTCTGGATGGATATTAAACGGATGTGTCTCTGCTATTGAGAATATTTTCTTGAATGCTTCTACTATGAAAATAATGGCAATTAAGCAAGCAAAACTTTCCTCTGTAAATCTTGTTATATAACGGACTAATGCACTCAAGTCAAATGCAACAATGATCAGTAAAAACAGAGCTGACCACAGACCTACCAGGCATCGAAATGGTAGAAAGTCCCAGTCATTGTCTCTAAAAGGAAAAGACAATGTGAAAGAAAAACACTTATAGTTAATTGTATACGAAAGAAGCTTCCCTGGCCTTAGTCATTACTTTTTCAACATTTTATTTTTACATTCTAATTCGAGATAGTTGAATAAGGAAGTAGCACACCTTATCTATCATAAATTTCATATCCCAGATCTGAGTTGATAAATATGGTAACATTTGGAATTGTATTAGCCATAAACTGAAAGAGAAAAGTGTACGTCAAGATAATGATGTTTTGTATTGGCAGTTATAGGCTTCTAACTTTTTAAAAGTTTTTAATCGAGACAAATTTCATCACAAAATAGAATAACTATTCTGATAACAATACAAAATGGACGAGCCAGGTCGACCAATGTTACATAAAAAGCTACATCATATGTATTTTTAAACAAATTTATATCCATAGCAATGCGTGTCTAACACGCCATGTTTGTAAGTCTTGAAGTAACATTTTAAAAACGTAAAATCAAATGACAAAAGATTTCAGAACTAAAAATCTGCATACCGACACATTGTGTAGATTATAATTTCCAACACAAGTACAGGTCCGGTACTACCCATTATAATCAATGGCTGTCCACCAAATAATGCAAAAATCAGGTTTACAAAGGCAACAGCTACAATACATTCCATTGTTCCCTGTAAACGAAAGAAATACTACAAAATCTGTGAATGCACGATCTATCATAACATTATAAGAATTTTCTTATTTGTCTATTGAAATAGATTAGTATGCCGATTAACAAACACTGTTCAAAATACTTTGAATACAATAAGGAGTTTACAATCAGAGCCTTCGTAAGTATTCGAAAAATCGAAAAAAAAAGTGAAAGAACATAATTTCTGCTGAATTTATCGCCGAAAAGGGGGTTATTTCTTTACTCTTACTTTTCAATTTTGTAAAATATTTTTTAAAAAAGTTTTATTTTGCTTCATTCATTTTATTTTCTATGTATGCAGTAGATTGCTTAATATGCGTCACGTACCATGTAGTGATGTGTTGACTGTCCTAGTAAAGCTCCGAATGTTATGTTGGGTGTTAGTGTAGCTAGATACATAAAGAGAACAGCACCGAGACACTGTATGTGGAAACCATCTTTGAAGTCACTGATATAGAATGGAATCTTTCGCTTTACGTCTTCAATAAGACCACCAAATAATCTATACAAATGTAACATATGAGTAGGTATATAATTTAGCGATTTAATTAACCTTTGAAACATTACTGTTTTTTTAATTAAAAACCATAAAGCAATAACATATATGTCGTTAGGCAACTTAAATGATTTATTCTTCGAGAAAACAAGACATCGGTAGGAATTTGGTCAACTTACCTCTGTCTATTTGCACTAATTGCAATTAAGAATTGTCCTGCAAATAACTTTCAGGGAAATAAAGTTGTCACAAAAAAGAAAACAAAGAGACACACTGAAAATACAATATCTTAAAAGTGTCCCAACAAATTGTAAATAAGACAACTTCAAAATCTTTTCTACCTTCCAGTGCGTACTAGTGTAGGATCACTGTGCTCCTCTTCGGCGATTGATTCAAACCTCCTTCGTCCCTCCTGTATATTAAAAGGGGGAAATTAACAAGATAAGAGCAGTAACATTATTAACAAAACATCCATGAAATTAATTTGACAAGCTTTATCTCTTGTTTTACCATAACATCAAAAAGCTTGGAAATTACTTAAAAAAATTGTAAATCGGTCAGGATATGTTGCATTCTTTTAGACCTTTTCACTTTGTATAAGACGCAGGAATACACTCATTCATTTCAACATAAAACATTTCTCAATTCAGTGGATGTCATTGGTTGCTGTCTTTCATATTTGATTTTAGTTTATAGTGTTTTGTACACAAATAAGGCCGTTGGTTTTCTCGTATAAATTGTTTAACATTTTGTCATGTCGGGGTCTTTTTATTTAACTATACGGTATAGGTTTTGCTCATTGTTGAAGGCCTTACGATGGATGACCTGTAGTTGCTTTAATCTACGTCATTTGGTCTCTGGTGAATAGATGTCTCATTGTCAACCTTACCACATCTTCTTATTTTTATAACTATCAAAACATATAACGCTCGTATATGCATAAGTAGTTCAACAGTTGCTTCACTGCAATCAATTGTTCACGAACTTGTTAGATCGATAATATTGTTTTGTTTTATATTCTTATATGTGGCAAAATTATAACATCTTTTATATCTTAGTGAATATCATTTCTGCATTTCTGAGTAAAAAAAAACCTTGTCTGTCTGTTGTTTCTGATAATCTTAAATTATCACAAAAAAATTGGCAGCATAGGAGAAGAAAGAACTTTTTACACTTGTATAAACTGAAGAAAGCAATTATTAAAAACAAATAGCATTACTTTCAGTGTCAACCCTATAATCACGAAAAAGAACAGACCTGAGAAGGTACTTTAGTCGGTGGTTCTAAACGTATTTCTGGATCCCACTGGCCAGGAGGAAGAACTGTTGTTTGATCAAGAAATTCGTCAAATCCATGCATTATATCTTCTCGTGATTTTGCTTTGTATGCAACCTCACTGAAAATCTGAAAATTGATTTAAAACTTCAATTTCTAGCTTAAAAGAGATCTTTTAATTTTTATTGCGAAATAATTCCAATAAGATTGCTACAGAGTAGTCAATGTCCACCGCCGAGGTACTGGAATTTTTCCAAATCACTTATATATTTCCAAGGACATAACTCACATGAAAATAATTGATTTGCACTAATTTTCAAATGCTTTTGATATTTTGCTCATAGTATCCTTTGACGCTAAACATGATTTATTTATTAGCTGATGTTGGCCTCCGTTCGAAATAAGTTTCAGTAACTGCGAGTACTCTTACTTGGCAGTTTGTATCTAGTTTTTGTTAGTTTTTTTTCTTTGTGTCGATCTGATGAGTCAAGTCATTTCCAACTGATTTTAACAGTTTCTTCTTATGTCGTGCTGTTATACCACTGTTCCAGGTTGAGGAGGGTTGAACACTCACAAACATGTTTAATCCCGGTACATTCTATCTGTGTCTGTCCTTAGTCAGGAGTCGTTGTCGTTGTCGTTGTTTGCTGCATACTTGTTTTCATTTATTGTTTTATCATAAAACAGACTTTTTTTTTCGTTTGAATTGGTTCATATTTTGTTATGACGGGGCTTTTTATAGCCGACTATAATGGTATGTGTTTAGGTCATTGTGGAAGGCCGTACTGGTGACATAAAGATGCCCAAATTTGCTTTTTCCAGCATTTCCATTTTGCCCGCTCCATTTTGCAACGGAGGAAAATAACTTGAATATACATAAGTGCATAAGTCAAACTTTCCAATGGCATTTATCTCTCTTACCAATAGAAAAGATAATAATTCTGACATCGAGTTATCCTACCATTCAATTTTTAGTTGGTGTTGTTTGAGGGGTGACATGGAGGAACTTATTTTCTAAATTCCGTTTTTTTTGGGTAATTTTTTCCCACTTTCAACTTTTATCCTTCTTTTTCTCAGATTATACTTTTTCATCCCCTATATCGCACAGCCCCACTTGTTTTACCCCCTATATTCCACATCCCAAAACCGTGTTATTTCCCTCTTGTTTTCGAAGTGATTGCCTCTAAGTGGTTTATTTTTTTTTATTGCTGTTTATTTCAACCTGAATGGGATGAACATGTTTACGTTTGGATATGAGAGATCCTAAACATTTATTTCTTCTGACTTGCGATTCCTGATTGTTCCTTTGATATTTTTCGTCTCTTCTTTTTTTTATTACATTTTCATTTACTTATTTCACTTTTTGGTTCAGGATGATTAGTTGCAGGAATGTTTGAAGATGACAAAGTGTTCTGCATACAACTTTTATAAATATTAGGTAATATGAACGCAATAACAATCAAAATGTTTCGTGTTCTTACCACATCAACCATCATATTGGACATTGCTCTTCCAATTGCAAAAATGTGGCCTGGTTCCCCAACTGGACTAAGATGAAGGAAAATGAATCGCGTTGGTAATGGTACTTCTGTCAAATCACCAATAACTCTGGGTTTATCTAGTCGAATGAAAGCTGTGATTGGTTCCTTCAAATCATCTATTTCCCCAACCCATACATTGGCGACTTGTGCACCTTCGGGAATCTTTTTCATAAAAGGCTTATTAAGCTGAAGAGAGAATAAATTCTTTTATCATAATTTCTGACACCATTAGAAAAACGTCATGACAGTCAATTACAAATTGTTCTTAAGATGATCGTTAATCGTTTGACAAAAATTGGCTGGGTTTTCTTCGTTATTTTTTTCAATGCAAAATCGGCCAGTTTCTTTTGAGCATTTATTTTTCTAATATATATACCTTAAAGTTAAGTATTAAGGATGTACTTAGGTGAGGTTTTGGAATAAGTGTCAAATGCTCGGACTCCTTGGTGTTTTTCTATACGATACAAAGTAAAATATTTTGCCCCATAACACCTATTTATCTTTTAACATAAGACTTAAAAGCTTATAAAAGGTCATTTGACAAAATTTAAGCAGATTCTTGATTTTCTTTCTTTTGATTTGAGACCCAAATAATACCAATGCAAATATAAGGTAAAAGTCAGAGTCAGCCTTTTCCCGCCATATTTTATAAATCAAATATCTCGAAAAGGAGCTCCATGACATATCAATATTTTTAGCTTATTTTGAACCTTAACTATTGCTCTTCCAGCTTAAAGTATCAATTTTGAATTCTTGATTTATTTAATTTTACCTTAGATCAACTAAGTACATCCTTAATATCTAATATTTCCCATTTGCTGTACAGATCTGAATGTTTAAAAAGTTTCATATCTTCATCATTTGTTATTCATATATCTATTGAAATCATTATACAAGCTCTTATATAATGACGATATACATGTATCTAATTGTTAGAAAGGAAAAAAAAACATTTGCGAAATATTTCATTTGTCACATTTTTGTTTCAACTTATAAACTCATCCAAGATATCAGGATTGAAAGGTCTACAAAAGATTCATCAGTGACGCTCGAATAAAAAAGTTAAAAAGGCATTCGTATAAGAAAGAAATAAGGTTACTACTTATTTCATCAGAATAAATGAAAATACTTGCCTTGACTAGAGGCGATGTTTCAGGAAGTTGGCCGTTTGTTTCACCTCTTCCTTCTGCGTGTTGTCGCGCTTTCATTTTAGCAAAATCTGCAGCACTGCTGGCTAAAAATAAATGCAAAGATGGGTCAACTAGTATAAACAACAATTTATTTAGGTTTAAAATTTAAGTTTTTTTCCTTATCCCTGATTTACTTAATATATACTTTTTCCAGAATCAAGTTATTTAATCAATTTTTTTGCTGGTTGTTTATTAATCAAATCATTTATAATTGAACCTGTTTTGATGTACCAGTAGTATATCTTAAATTGTGTTGGTGCATATTCAAATTACGACACCGACTCCAATGCAAGTATATCATTTATCCCCTGAAAATGAGATATTCAAAAACACTGACTTCTTGGTAGATGGTGCCTCTAGGACTCCACCAGCAGAAGGAAATCAATCAAGTGTCAGTAGTATTAAACGTATAATAGATAGAGCCAGAACAATATATTCATGTTCTTCCGAAGTATACTTAAGTGGTTGACTTATGTCATATAGTAATCTTTTTGTTATTTTGGAAAATCTTTTGTTGTTGGCAGATTTGTTTTATTTATTCACTTTCATAAACTCAAGTCGATTTAGAGTCTGACATATTGCATAGACACTCGTCTATTGTTTAAATGTCTTATGGGTATTTTATCGTTGAGTTGCTGTCTCATTGACGTTTATCCTACATCTCCATTCATTCATAAAACAATGTGTTCTATCAACTATAAGGAAAGCCAATTAATTGAAGTCGTGCTGTAAATTATATCCTTTCGACTGGGTCGTTTAAGCATTCAGACGATAATGGTAAGGATTTCAAAAGATCAAACGATGTAATGTCTTACTTTTTGGCATCCTGCATTGTGTGATTATATTGCCTCCAGAATCATCTGCTGAGATACGTCTCCGTTTCAAATGAGGATGTACATGACGCGCTAACAACGATGATCTTATTGTAGATTTAGTATTTTCTGTTAAGGTTTTGTTTTTTGATAGTTCTTCGATGATAAGATCTGAAAATAAAAAGAAAATGTCAGTTAAAATATGTCTTGCTATGTTGAGGTAAAAAAATAAAAAACAACACTTTTTCATGCGTTCAAAGCACTTTTCTGGATTTACCTTCACCAGGAACGCTAAAAGCCTGACATTTGAAAGCCAAGGATGTATTAGAACCGAAACAGTTGAAGTGCTATATAGACAAAATAAAAGGGTCTACCAATACCATCAAAGGTCAACTTTGCCTGAGGGAATTGAAACCTTTGTTTCTTAATAATTTCTAAATTTATAAACGAGTAAAACATTTACCGATCATCAATGAAAAACGGTATTTTCTGGAAGAACATTTTATTCAATACAAATGTGAAAATATGCCACCCTCGTGCACTTAAAGAATCCTTAACACAACTTTTGCTGAGAGATGTCCTTTTGTTTATATATCCTATTTGTATACTACGAAGTCGTCCGGGCTGATTTGAGAACTAAAATAAAATACATGTCATATGTGCGAGTATCCATAATCTGTACGTACATCACAAAAAAATCTCTTGGTGTCCGTTTGCTTGTGTTGAATGTATCAATAAGCAATCACTCCCGTTCTTAAAGGGGAATTTTATTTCCATGATTTATAGATAAGCTAACAAATTGAAATGCATTGACAAAAATACCGAATTTTAGTAAATTCCAAAAAGGGAGCAGTTCATAAAACCTGACAAAACAAAACGCTCGACTATATCTTGGTACAATATGCTCGACTATATCTTGGTCCAATATGACCACCATAATTTTTATATTCACATTATTTCTCAACCCATAAGTTTAACCAAAAGCATACACTGTAATTAAAACAAGTAGACTAAAACAGCTCACCTCAAATGCTACCACAGCATGCGCGATTTTTTCAGAACCACATATCATTATATACATTAATATAACATCTTACCAGCTAACTGAGGAATGTTTGTGACATCTGCATCTAGTACCAAGGCTCCTACGAACATCTGTGTCCTTAGCTCCAATACATTATGCAATGTAACAGAAGCCACATGAGGTTTCGACCAACGTTTGCCATTCTCCTCGACATCCTCTTCGTATTTTACCCATCTGGAATAGCGTATACATACATATATACATTTCAGTTCTAGTTAGTTAAAATTGTTTAAAAAGTTTTTCGTTATTTTATTAACTTTGACATTCAGGTGTAACCCAATTTATATTTTTATTTTTGGAAATCACATGCACTGTCAGCGACGCGTACCGTGTCTACGCACATGGGACCTTTTTCACAATAAAAAATGATCGAAAGTAATACTGAAAAGATAATGACTTACAAGTATTTTTTCTCGTAAGAGTTTTTGTGAAATAGCGCAAAACTTATTCAAGTTGGAGTTCATAAATGAAATTTCGATTGCTTCCATGCCAACGTTTATTTTTACCCAGAGTTACAATATTATAATTGAAATCGGTATACTACCTGTAAATTTATTGTAAATTACCTAGCAGACTCTCGCCAAATGACTTCTTCGTCTTTTTTCGTTAAAGTGTCTAACTGACAGAAAACAACGTGTGTTTCGTCATCGTTTTTTGTGAGTAGACCCTGGATAAACTCAGTAACTGCTAGACTGCCTGAAAATAAAGAAAATATTTAAATTGCCTTAACTTTCTATAATTGACATATTTTTGAAGCAATTCCGACTTAAAGTAACATCTCATTTTTTAGCAAACAAGTAGAGAGGATAGAATGGGAACAATAAAAAACTAGTCGAAGAAAAACAGACAATACCATTGCCAAGACTGTTATCGATAGAAACAAACATCAGCAAATAAAATAACACATAATACACTACTGAAAAATAAAGCAAGAACAACACTCTTTAAAATAAAGTCAGGGGTGAACTCGTGCAGTGATAGATAGATATAGGAAGATGTGGTATGAGTGCCAATGAGACAACTCTCCATCCAAGTTACAATTTATAAAAGTAAACCATTATAGGTCAAGGTACGGCCTTCAACACGGAGCATTGGCTCACACCGAACAGCAAGCTATAAAGGGCCCCAAAAAATTACTAGTGTAAAACCATTCAAACGGAAAAACCAACGGTCTAATCTATATAAAAACGAGAAACGAGAAACACGTATGAACTACATAAACAGACGACAACTACTGTAATTAGATTCCTAACTTAGGACAGGTGCAAACATTTGCAGCGGGATTAAACGTTTTAATGGTACCAAACCTTCTCCCTTTTCTGAAACAATAGTATAACATTACAACATAGAAAAACACACTATAAAATATTAATTGGAAGGCTTAACTCAATCAAAAAACGTAAATTAACACACAATGAACGAATAAATTTGACCTGTGACACCTGAATGCAAATACACAGTTAATAAAAAATTAAAAGGGATAAATAATTAAAGTCAAAAGTAAATAGACAGGTTTAAACAAAGTTAAAGTATGATATCACTGTGAAATTTCAAACAATTTATAGAAAATCATCACTTTTGAAGAAACCTGCGTCATATTATACACAGGTAAATGAAGAGACTATAAAACCAGAGACAATCTTAAAAATGCCTTTTTAGGTTGCTAGATAAACATTGATCTTCATAGATTTATTTAATGCTGGAACATAGGCAGTTAGATCACCTACTGACAACATAAGTTTCAAGGTTAATATTTATCACGTCATATGTTTATCTTGAAAACTCTTACATAAGAGTTACCGTGCATTGATTATGGATTTATTTAAAATGATAAAAAAAGAATCTATGACCTGAATTGTATATATAGAAGGAGGTCATTGAAATTTTTCGTAACAACCAAAACTCGCATTCTTACGGACAATATTTGAATACCATGAATATTGCAATATCATGCATTAAACCTTCACAATTTCACCCATATTTATGGTTTTTAAGGATTTTATTCTCATGAACTATTTATATATTTTTTTAAAGATTCTGCCCACGGTTGTTTTGATACATCTCTTTTCAGTTTTTTTTTATCGAAGCGATATCTAATTAACAAGCACTCCTGTTTGAGGTCATTGTTGTGATGGTTTGTTCAGGCACGTTTGAATCTAAAGGCCAAATATTCAGAAAAACTAAGACATCAAGGTAATTCTGTCTGTTATAAAAAGTGGATTTTTTCAAAAAAAAAAAATAGCAAACAATTATTGGATTTTAACTGTTTGATCATCGTGTACTCTTTTGTATTAACCATAACTCTAAGAAACCGTTCAATAACGCTGGAGTGTTATTCTTTTTGTCCGTTGCAATTCGAAGTTTTTGCACTTGTTTATGTGGTCTTTAGCTCTCAATTGTCTTAGATCCTTCAAAACCTTTGTATGGCTTGATATAACACATATGTTCTACTTAACACCTGTATGGTGTGAGCTAACAAAAAGGTTCTTTTAAACCTCTGTATGGTATGAGCTAACAGAAAGGTTCTTCTGAACCTCTATATGGTGTGAGCTAACAAAAAGGTTCTTCTGAACCTCTGTATGGTATGAGCTAACAAACAAGTTCTTCTGAACCTCTGAATGGTGTGAGCTAACAAAAAGTTTCTCCTGAACCTCTGCATGGTGTGAGCTAACAAAAAGTTCTCCTGAACCTCTGCATGGTGTGAGCTAACAAATTAAGTTCTTCTGAAACTCTACATGGTGTGATCTTACAAAAAGTTTCTTCTGAACCTGTGTACGGTGTGAGCTAACAAAAAGGTTCCTCTGAACCTCTGTATGGTATGATATAACAAACAAGTTCTTCTGAACCTCTGTACGGTGTGAGCTAACAAAAAGTTTCTTTCGATCTTCTCTATGGTGTGATCTAACAAAAAGTTTCTACTGAACCTCTCTATGATGTGAGCTAACAAAAGGTCTTCCTGAACCTCTTCATGGTGTGACCTAACAAAAAGGTTGTTCTGAACCTCTGTATGGTATGAGCTAACAAAACAGTTCTTCTGAACCTATGAATGGTGTGAGTTGATACAAAGGTTCTACTTAACATTTGTATGATGTGAGGTAACAAAAAGGTTCTTTTAAACACGGTTGGTGTGAGCTAACATAAAGATTCTTCTAAACATCTGTACAGTGTGATGTTTGCTTTATCGTTGAAGATTTTATAAAGAACTGAAGTGCTTTGTTTGTTTGACTCTACACAAATAGGTCATTTGTCGTGTAAAATACCATACCGAGGTACAGACTGTCAAGCTGTTGATACCATCGAGAATGATTGTTTAACGATATCGGTCAAGTTGTGGTAAAACAAAACCAAACATAATGAATATGCAAGGTTCATTCTATGTAATTTCCTGTCAAAATTAACAGTTTGTAAATTCAAGGACTTTAAAATACATGGGAACACTTGCAAACACTTGTACGGTCAACTTAGGGATATGTAGCCTAATGTTACTGAAAATAAGAATTATAAGCTTAGAATTAATCAAATATACACAACCCATGTCAGTGTACCCTAGATCTAGTCGTTTGTTTGACAACAGTTACTAGTTAACATCTTGCTATGATGTAAAAGTGCATTAAATCTCGGTTTCACATCTATACAAGTAATTATCATTTGTTTTCCTAACAATCAGCGGCTCTTTTCACAAAAAATCGTAAGAGTAAAAATACTCGTAAGTCATACACATTTCAGTATAACTTACGATCAATTTTAATCGTAAGATTTTTTGTGAAAAGAGTCGCTGAACTTGATCCATAAAACGTTGAACATACAAGATAAATTAAAATGTAGGACAAGTAGTCAAATGATAAACAAACAGAAATTCAAACCCAAATCTATCTAGTATAGACATTCTTTCTGCTGTCGAAGATTGTTGATATGTAGACTCCTACGTCGCTGTCTCATACGTATACCCCACATCTCGTTTTATTTAATAACATATCATAATGAACAAATTATAAAAATGTTAACCATAGAACTCTAAAAGTCAGAACAAGTTGGAATATTTCCATCTATAATCAATATTTTCATCTATAATTATTGTCGCCATTTCGCGTTAATATTTTGAAGAAAAATGCTGGTCAATTGTTGAAGTCGTGTGACTTTTTGAATAGGATGCTACATCGACGTGTACCATATCCCTTTTTAATTCATGTATTGTTTTGTCTTGTTCACAAACAAAATCAAATAAAGTTTATTTTAGTCATATTAATATATATCTTCCTTTATAAAAACTTCTTATGAAGATAAACCCTTTCCAAATCAACTTGTAATGATCAATATATACCGCTTTCCATACGAGTTTTTGATTAAACAATGTACAATAACTTTTCAATGATAATTCATGAAAAATTCGGCATAATCTGTTGGAAACATATAACTTCACACACGCGTGTAGTAAGATAAATAACAATAAACTACATACACAAGTTAAGGATATTGGTATGAAACCATTGTCGTCTTATAACAAAACAAACTGATGGTATGACATAATTAAAATCTGCCAAAATAAATACATGTAGTACCAATCTGAATAAAATAGAGATCTTGTGTCCAGGCTTTGCTTACAAGGATCTGAAAACACTCCGTTGTACTCTCTGTTCTGGTAATTATTACATCAGGCAAACAAATTTCAGCCTTCAAATTTGTGAGGCTGTGAATTAATCCGCCAAAACAAGTAGGGTCCCGAAATGTCTTTAAACCAGAAAGTAGAACGTTTTTAGATCCTAACAAAGCTTGGACACAGGATCAGTTTTTTAATCAAGAGGAAGGGGTTATAATAAAAGACCCTTGCAGAATTATAAGTAACAGCAATATTGACTTTCCGTTAATCATACGAGTACAGGTCAAGTAAATGTCAGAGAGTCCGATAGTAACCTTGAACTTGGAGCTTTTAAAATTGATAAGACAGCAATCAATCAAGACTGGAGACATTTAAATTACTCTCAGGTCACTTTATCCAATACACAACAATTTAAAGATCTATATCTTGAGAAAGATTTTTATGTAGTTAGGAGTGAAAGTTCGCTTTATTTTAAAATTGTTCAATTAAATCCGCCTTAATGCTTCGAAGATATAACCTCAATTCGACCTATTTTTATTTATGCCAATTCATCAAAATATTATGTCAGTCTTCTAAAAATGTATGACAGAAATCTTGGTATGAAAACTAGTTAAAGGCACAGCAATAAAAAACTGACGTACATGTTATCATTTAAAGTTTGTCTCGTGATTATGTGACCTTTATCACCTGTTTGCCAATCTTAAAATAGAACAACCTTATCATAATTACATAACAACTGTACAGATATTGAAAACGGCCTTGTATATGTATGTATAACACGAAGTTCTTTTATCAAACAACTTTAGTTTACTCACTAACCATTGTTGATAATGATGTAAGATTAAGACCAATGTCGGTCAATTCAATTTTTTATCAAACGTAAGATTTTCAGCTCATTGTTTATAACTTGAGTGGGGTGATATTAGGCTTGTGATTTCTTTTTGAACGCATCGATATTAAAAATGCTATGTTATGTACCATTCGAACTCATTTCATCTGCACCATTTTTTACCCTGTCGTACGGTACAATGTCCGTCAAATCAAAGTCAAAGTTCAAGGACGAACGATGTCTTATTTTTCAAAATGTCAGCATCAATTACATATTCTGTCTGCTGAATATTAAAATAGTTTATGAACACATTAAAAACTTAAAGAACAAACCTAAGTTCCATAATCAATCGTACTTAAAGTATAAATTACGTAATTTTGAATAAAAATTGCCCTTTTCAGACAATCCAAATAAAAATAGTAAAATTGACAGAAAGCCAAGCGATTTCTTAGTGAATCATTTATTTATTACCACGAACCATTGTTAAATGCTAAGGAAATTTTTGACATCATTTATCAACCTCAATTGATATGAAAAGAACAAACCATTGCAGCTTATACAAATACAATAGCTATCAAGAAAGGAAGTAGTAATGAATTTGGTTTGTAGATATAATACAATCGATTATGTCATTGTAAACACAAGTAATTGGTTTGGCAATGTTGCCGTTGGTGCTGCTTTGGGAGCAAAGTCATTTGGCACTTCAAATATGACTACAAATGAAAATACGTTCAAAAACTAAATTCGCTGTACATGCAGCCCGCTTATTTCTTTGTAGCATTTTTATTACTACTAGTATACTACTACTTAGAAAATTATCAGAAATTATTGACAATCAATTTATTATGTAATGTAATCATAGAAAAGCGAAAGTTCTCTATTTTGCAAATGGCGGTATATAGGGCAACGGTAAAAGCTTCCATAGATGGCTGTTTCCATGACAATGTATATGGAAACCAGTTTAGAATGATGACACAAATTTCCTCAGATCCACAAAGGAATATATCTTGCTTGAACATTGTCATTTTCGTGGAAAAGAATTCTTAAAAACTGCAAATCCAAAGATCTGATATATTTGGAAATTGTGAAAAAAATACTTAATTGATCGCTAGTTGTACGTCTGAATGGAAATTATTGTATTCTATTCTATAAGATTCGTACGTTTTTGAATCCTTTTATCACATTCAAGAGACAACCAGTATTTTTTCTAACCCTTGCATAAATTATAAATGTGTATCAACCTTTGATCTTGATTTCACAGAATTTCCAACGCACGGTTTTTTGATGAACGGACAAGATAGAAAACACAGATAATATGCTTTCGAATGGTATATAATATAGCCGTGTGTTAAACAGAAAGTCATTAACTTTTATATAGTTCTTTCGAAATACGTCACTCGATCATACTTAATATAAAATAGATACAATGAGTGGGTTGAAGTTACAATTGTATTCGCTGGCAAATGTCATTGTCATTTGCTATCACAGTAAACCGCAGGTGTAGAGACTTTAGATATTACTTATTTTACTAACATTTAAATACATGTTCAACAAGCCATTGAAAGTCAATTCATAGTTTTGAATTGCACTAAAAAGTGCGTTCAAGACTTTTTGGTCGTAGTCTAATATTGTGAAAAATGAATTATGAAGAGGAAAAGAAAAATACTGAACTGAAACACTTAAAAATGTATCTTATATGTTTATCAATGATGATATCTTTTTGGAAGGTACTCTTTAGTAGGAAACACAAAAGAATGTTTTGTAAAGAACAATCATACGCGTAATAATATATCACATATCAAAACACAAAGGTCGACTTCAACCAAAGAAGGGAACACAATTTTGTAGGCCAGAGTCTGATCGAATGTAGTACATTTTAAATCAAATGAACTGGAATAGAATGCCTTCTGGTAATTTTCCTGATCCATTCTTGAAACAATAAACGAAACACAAATATGACAGACAGCAACTAACGATAATACAGGTTCCTGACTTGGGACAGACATACTAGCACATTTCATTATCCACTTGTACAGGACTTGAGTACGAATGTACCAATAAATATGGCACTGTTCCTTTCTTCCTTCTGATCAGTAATTTTTGACAAAGGTATTCGACAATCGAATCTATCGTTACGTTCGATGCTCTGCAATTGTCATTGAGTTGATTGAGTCGATTAGTTACACAGATGTAAAAACAACTGTTGTTTTATTAATCGATTGTCCAATAATGAACTTAATGGGAATTTCTTTCTCTGAGAAACAACAACCAATACACATAGTACAAACACTTGTTTTAGGGCATATACCAACTTTGAAACATTCGACATATCATATACTCGAGGTCACAAGTGGAAAGACAAAGTGAAATATATATATATCTGAAGCACCCCCCCCCCCCTCCTCTCGGAAACCGGCAACTAATAAATGTAAAACAGTGTCTTAAGCTTATGCTGACTATCACATTCCGTGCAATTGGCTATTATGGCTATTTAGACTAACTCAGTTTACAAATATCTACTGAATAGTATTTTCAAATATTGAGTAATATGAATTTGAAAAAAACTATTTAAGCGATGATGACATTGTCAACCTCATACTCTGTTTTTGCATCGTAGATGTCTTGTAAGAAATGTTTATGTGCTAAATATTTTTCATAGCAATAGCATAGACACCTTAACTAATGGAAACATGACAGAGAACATCATTGAATTTCTCTTGACCTGCCAGTTTGTCACAACAGTGGTCATTTTACATTTGACCATTTTAGGTTAATCGGATCTGACACCTTTGAAAAATACAAATGAAAGAAAACGGGTAATTTCAATACTTCACTGGTAACTTAATTTAGTTTCTGCAGTATATTCGTCTTTGGTGCTTTAAACAAATAATCTGAAAAATCTTTTCGAATTCTCTTCATATATGGAAGATAATTAGGACAATGCCATATGCGACCCGATTTATGGAAACGGATGGATATATATTATTTTCTTTTGTTTAATCTTTACTTTAAGAAGAATTTATTTTGAATGATTAAAACAATGTACTTACGTTTTCTGTGACTTAAATGCTCTCCATTTTTCACTTCGTATGACCCATTCATGCCATTCATTTTGATGCTTGTTTAGGTTGTGCAGTCTTCTTTCTGAACCCAAAAAGAATGTAATAAGTTTGATTCATCTCTATTACAAAATAGAAATTTGAATTTAATTTAATTGCAATATAAAGATAAGAGTATGTCGTATAAAATGTGTTCTTATAAGGTAGCTTTGATATTATATTGTCTGAGCACGGAAACGGTAAGTTTACAAAAATCGAAAACGTCACAAAGTGAATCCAGATGACGTCGTGTCCCCGCACGCGTATCTTCCCACGACGCGTTAACCTTCTTGCTGCCGGAAGGACACATGTATCCGCACCGACGGTGCCAAAAACATAGAAGATTATCTATAGTGTAAAATTTTTCTTCAATGGGCCTCCAATGTAACGTCATCAGAGCTTTGCTTCAAATTAATCGAATGAAGTCATAGTCGGGTATCGTGAAGTCACAGACGTGAAGCTGCCGTTTTTCCTGGCAAACGCAATGTTAGCGGCAGCAAGAGAGTTATACAAAAACTCAACATTTTTGTCTGAATCGATTCAAACAATTCAAAGTTTAAAAAAAAAAAAATTAATAACAGTTTCTGTCTTAAGATAAAAGCAGTATGCCGTATTACGCAACATTCATTATTGCATAAAATACCAGTTGACGATATAACTTGTAACTGTTGGTACATACTAACTGGTACCGACCAGTGCAGTGTCTCAGTAAACTTTTTTTACGCAGACTTCTATTTCTTTGTTTTGAACAATTATAATGTAGATAAACCACTATTTCATATACCTATCCACATAATGTGGCTTCTTAAAATAAGGTCAGGCTGAGTCGAATATGTAAAGTTAGACTTATCAAGACTTTTTGTAGAAGAATACCGTATCGCTTTTTTAAAAAAAAGGAGAAGTCGAAGAAAGACATTATAACATTATGAACACCTTAAAAGACGAACAACAAACAGTTAAAAAAAAGCAACGTAGAAAGCTAAAGATTTATCAACTTAAATCATACTGAAAGCCGGGGTGAACTCAGTACATCTATTTAAAATTCGTTGATAAAGTCATTACTAGTGACAAGGCATACACGTAACGGATTGATACATGTTTTCTGGATAACCCCAAATGCACTGCCAAATTTATAAAACATCGGTACATGTAAACTCACTAATCCTCAAATATTACTGAATGAGAACTTTTAAAATAGAAGCAACCTTTGCTGAACAAATAATAGATAAGATAATTGCACATACATTGAAAAATGAAATATAAAATGCTACCCAGAAAAACATTGCATATTTAAGTAGACATTTTCGAAAACTATTCGATACCGACGCCTACAGGTATCCTTTTTGAGAAGGGCCATCATCTCAATGTGTACAACGACCACAGGCATTTATATTATATTTTTTTCTAATTTTATTTCAAATACTGTAGAAAACATTTAACATGTATATTGAGTAGCTGAGAATTGATCGATCTTAATATTGTAATATGTAAAAAAAAAGGGGGGGGGGCTTTGTGTAAAATAATAAAACTTTAATTAGAAACAGAACGTGTAAAGCATTTTTTTCTTGAAACATAACGTATAAATATATGCTAGTAGATGATATTATTAGTTATCTTGGTGTAATCAGGGGTGCTTGGAAGTTTACACCGGTGTTAAAAATGCACTGTACAATTCCGTACACTCATGATTATAACAAGAAAACGAATTCATTTCTTATGAAACGTTCCTTTACTATTTTTATACCTGGGTATAAAATTGAAAAATTCTAACGATGAACTTCAACTTCACATTTTATCTTGTAATGTTGCATGTATATTAAGGTTTAAAGGCTAATAATAGATGAACAAATGCAAATAGGTCAACGGGGACACAATCTAATGTACAACGACAATAAGGAAGAAGAAAAAAACCAAACACTGCAGAGACACCAAAGGTAAGTAGCGTTTTTTATATAGATTAGACCGTTGGTTTTCCTGTTTGAATGGTTTTACACTAGTCATTTTTGGGCCCATTATAGCTTGCTGTTCGGAGTGAGCCAAGGCTCCGTGTTGAAGACCGTACTTTGACATATAATGGTTTACTTTTACAAATTGTGACTTGGATGGAGAGTTGTCTCATTGGCACTCATACCACATCTTCTTATATCTATTGATTTTGTTGTAAGCACTAAATTAAAGCAACAGAAGTTACCGATGTTCAAATCTCATAAATCGACTAAGAAGACAAATCAAGGTAACAAACAATAACTTAGGGAATCACAAGAACTTTAAAAGGAGCAATACCGGGTGCGTTGACAGAGAAAGCTTATTCTGCTATGTTTGCATCACCCGCCATGCGACTCCACACGAAGCCCAGCTTAACAAATTATTTTAATGCTATAAGCTTGTCTTGGAGACCGAAAGTTTAAGAAACCAACACAATAACTTCTAAGGCTTGTCTTATTAAGGAAAAAAGTCCAGGTAACCAACATGTTAAATACTAAGGCTGTCAAAAAAGGTAGTTTTATTTCCACGAAGCCGAGCTTACCATGTTAAATGCTTAGGCTTGTCGGGATACAGACAACAAAGAACATCAATACATTAAGTTTAGCTGACTGTCTGATTTGGAGATCCTGATTAGATTACTGTATATACTGGTTAGATATGATTGTAACATATATTTTGTTTTTATATCAAAACTATTACCTCAATATATTTACGTTTATTAAGTAAAACTTTTGACGCAACTATGCTCGAATCAATAGACATTTGAGGTTCATCATTCACCCGTAATGGTGAATGATTCAATAATATGTCATAATGTTCTGATTCACTGCCAATAAAGATTATATTATGCAAATAACATGCATACACTTATATTGATTCACGTTTATGTAACACTTTACTTATATCAGTATTACTTTAAATACTAGTAAGAAACAATTGTTTTTGCACAAAAGGATGCAGAGCTGGAATAAAATAAATGATTGAACAATAAAAACTGTACGCAATTTTGGTACAGTAGATGGTTCCGCCTCATGTAAGGCAAATGTAGATTAAGTAGTTCCTGCTTTCAGGAAAAGATTCGAAAAAAATACCAACTGCAGAAGGACAATGCAGTATAACTGTAAAATCGTTTAAAATACTTAACAGAGCACAAGTATTTATTTATTTCCTCGCCGCGATATAGTCTTTTTGCGCTGATGTAGCGTAAAGCAAACACCAATCAATCAATTTGGCCCGGGAACACAGTTATCGTACTTTGATTAAATATAGTTCCTAATGTGGACTGTGTATTACTCGCAAATTTTGTTCACAACCCTTCCTAATTCATTTCTTCATTTTTTATGCCTCAAATATCAAGTAGGGGATGAAAAATAGGTCATGAATTTTAAAGTAGAGTAGTGATTTGGCCAGTTGAAAAGAAAAGATTAAAAATTAGTATGTCTGAAGCTGTCAAACATAATTTAAGACCCCCTTAACACAAAATTGTCCATATTTTGAGTTGGAGCTGATGAAGTTTCTGTAATTTCGATATAATTTTTCCCCAAAAGTAGTTTAGTACACCACACTGTAAAAATATTATTGAGAAAGCGCAGGTGCGATTTTTTTAATTTGCATTTATTGTCTAAAAGAAATGCACTACGAAATAACTGTATTTTCGGGACAATTTATTTATTTCAATTGCAGATAACTATGAATAGAAATCAATTGTGATGAAGCAATTAGTATAAAGCAAACGTTCCACGCTTCAAACATGAAACGTAAGTAAAACCTACATGCATCCAGGTAAAGCAATTAGCAGCATCTACTCACCTTGCGCAACAAGTAGTATCGGTTTCCAGATAATTTTAGGTAATTTAATGCAGATTTAAAGTTGCTAATTACACTGTTGTCCGAATATGTCTCCGTTTTCTTAAATAACATATGTGATATTAAAAAAATCGGGAAACACGATTTTTCACCGAGATGCTTTTAATATCTGAATGTGACCGTATCCGTATACATTTAAAGTAAACTATCGTAAATTTTGTGTCTTTTATACCGTTATCTTCCACATTCCTGATTGGCAAGGCAATACACCCGATAACAAATGATAGGGGTATTTATAAAAAAAAGTGTATTGATAGTGGACTTTTTTAATAGTACAAAACAATTAGTTATTATGTCTAGTAGATTGGTAACAAAATACATCTATCTCTGAACAATGACGGTTTAAATAGACAAATTATGACAAATAAATAAAAAATAACACGGCAGTGATCGAAACGTCTTCCGTATTTTTATCATATAATTTGAATGCTACAATATTTGACTCCCTCATTGTTGTCATATTAACAATGAAAAAATAAACTTAGTCAGGCAAATGGATTGTTCTTTATTGTGTATTTGGAAGTGGTCCTTGGGTAGAATATATGGCAAAGTTGTTCTTCTGATTTCGGGCGAGCGATTTTTTTTTTACAATAATCGGTGATCAAGTTAACGCGAATGATTCAGCGCCCTCTATGTGTCTCAGTGTCCTCTGGAGAAGCGATCGATAGTGAGTAGGAATATAACGACTGGATTAATTGGGTTATAATCAACTTAAATGACGAGGTTTTTTTTAACGACATTGACTACCCATGAGGGTCTTGAACGGTCGGAAACTTAAATAATGTTCAGGAAGTGACTATACTTATATTCATTGAAGACATTTTTAAGGCCGGATTACCTCTTCTCGTTTGAAAATTTCAAACTTGATTACAGAAGACTTATACTGATAAAAAAATCGGAATTCAGAAAATTTTAATCATATATTCGAGTATACAAACAGTTTAACTGATACCTTGACAAGATTTGTGTGAATAGTATCACGATATACAAAGTTATCAACAAAATACCGAGACAAATCTCAGTTTGACTGCTTGTATATCTCATTTGTTTTACCGATTATATTGATATGAGTAAACCCTATATATTAAAGTAAGCTAGTTCTAGACAAACGTAAAATTGAATTAAAATCACGGGATTAAAAATTTACAGCATATTTATTTG